CTGCATGCGCTTGTGAATGACTCTCCAGTAGCAAATTAACATGTCCAGTCCAATGCTCATGAGAGACCCTACCATAAAAAAATGACGAGCACAGCACAGAACTCTTGAGATCTGCCAACCGCAAACTGGTATGTGTGTAGCCCAGCATTTGTAAATGTCCCTTCAGTATCATGGCGCCCAACACATCCCTCCACTTGTGCGTGGTTCGGCAGGAGCCAAATGCTCTCGCAGACAATAGTGAGTAAAACAATGTGCGAAGGGGAGAAGCCTCCTGCCCGTTACTCCTTCTCAGGGCTGGCGCTGTGACCCTCCAGGTGTCCAGCACCCACTCAGATTGCCAAGGCTTGCTCTGAGTGACAGTGGGTGATCTCCAAGGGTGAAATTCACCCCGGGCCACTTAAATCCTCTGTGCTCACATGGGGCTGCAGGGGCAGAGACCTTGTGCTGGGCCTGTGCCCAGGGGTGAATCTCACTCCACCTGAGCAAAGGGGGATTTCTTTTGAAACCCTCCTGGAGCAGATCTGCAGGGCTCTGCAGAGTGCACTCGCTGCCGTGCTGCAGCTCCCTCGCTGCCTGCCGGCTCTTTCAGAGCCCAGGACAAGCCTTTGCCCAGTGCCCTGCTTGTGGGTGTCGCATGAGCTCTTTGTCTGGAAGTCACTCTGAGCGCTATTGACTAAATAAATGGCATGTTAATGGCCCGAGCTCCCTTGTGAACACAAATCCAGTACGTGGCTTTGGAGTTGTGGCGATCACAGAAAGTGAAGCTGGAAAGGGCCTATTAGGTCACTTTATCCTCCCACAGGGCCAGTGCAGGATTGTTCCTATAGTGTTTTCATTAGTGCTTTAGCCAGTCTAATTTTAAATGTCCCACTTTCCTTGGAAGAGGATTCCACATGCTAATAAACCTCACAATTAAACAATGTCCCTGAAGTTGGTCTGACTTTCCCTTTAATTGGCCCCCCATCACCACTGGGGTGCTGCGGTAACTCCTTTCCCTCTGTGATCCTTACACATAGGGGTTTATCCTATTTCTCCTCTCCTCTCTAATCTTCATTTAGCCCGCCAAACACATTTCATCCCTTTAATCTTTCCTAATAAATCAAACCCTCCAGCCCCCTCAGACCATTTGTTGCTCCTCTCCAGATTTCTGTCACTTTGCCAACAACTTTCTGGTGTTTAGAAACCCAGGATATTTGTACTTGGACCACGTCTCACATAGGCGGCCACACCTCATTATCCCCATTTCACTGATGGGACTCGCCCAAGATCGCTCCGCAGGTCAGGAGTAAAACCCAGGGCTCCTGACTCCTGGTTCAGTGCCTTGTCCATTGACGCACTGAGGAACATACCCAGAATTCTAGCTGTTGATTTCCCTGCTCTGACATAACACCTCTACATGTACAAGCCAAATGAGAATTGGGATTTTAGCATAAACTAGCACAGCCATACTGCACTCCAAGTGTTCATCCAATTTGCTGTCCATTATTAGCCCTACGTCTTTTCCCACGTTACTGCTTTCCGGTTACCTGCCTCCCATGGAATATCTGTGTTTTGGGTTATTCCTCCCCGAATGGATTAGCTGCAACTGCCCAGGTTGAATCTCATTGTATTTTCTGCCCATTTCTCTCTTGGTCCCTGGGGGTTATTTCTCTGCTCTTCCTGGTATTTGTGGTGCTTCCCAGTTGAGTGTCATCTGCATAGCTAATTAAATGTGGTGTGTACCTAAAAGGCTGATCCCTGCTGCATCCAACTTCTCTGCCCTCTGTGCCCTCCAGCCTCAGTACATTGCTGTTCTCATTACTGTAAGAACCTGCAGGACCAGAACCTGAGACTATGGGGGTGCCAGGCTATGACACTTCTGCATCGGGTTTCCGCTGGGGGACCCTGTGGAGCTAGACACTGCAGGAAATACGCACCAGCAAGGCCTGAGTGGCGGCCCCCCCACAGCCCACTGATTGGCCCAGGCTGGTGTATAAACCAGGAAGTCCTCACAGGGAGCTGTCTGAGCAGTGATGCATACTGGCTGCTTGCTTCCACTCCAGACATTGGCTTGCTCTGAACCCCAGACTCTGGCTCCTGACCCTGGTTCAGCCTTGACTCCGCTGCTTGCCTCCTGTCTGCAGCTTGGTGCTTGATCCTGACTTCCTGGAATCCTGACCCCCAACTCCTCTACTTGTCTCCTGACCGCAACTTGGTAACGGATCTGCGCACACAGGCTGCCCATGGCCCGGCCTGACGTTACCGATCATTGCAGTGTAATCCACATGACAGTGCACCATCTCCAAGACAATTAGAATGAACTGTTTCAAGTAACGTTTTCTGAGACTGCGACCAATGTTTTATACATGCTCTCAAGGTACCACAGTACTGCATGCCACAAGGGCCTTATCCAGCATGGAAGGAATGCAAGATCAGGCCTTAAATATGCAATGCAGTCCTGCTCGTCTGGAATGATTTGTCCTTCTTAAATCCAAGCCGCTCATTACTTCTGGTGCTGTCATCTTCTAGGTGCTTGGTATTTGTTCCATTGCTTTACTAGGGACTGTAGGTAGAGTTCTTAGCCATTGCCAGGAGCACCTCCTTCCCCTCCTGCTCTTACCCCTTTGAAAAGGACATTTACCACATTTGCTTTCTTCCGCCTACTGGTACCTGCCTGGTTTTCCATGATTTAATCAATAATAGTCAGTGTTGGAGGAAGTTTATAACAATTTAACACTTTTCCTCTGCAAAAGCTTGAGCCTAGGCTTGGCTGGATTAGATTTTTATTGGTAAATGTCAGTAAACATCAATTTCACTGTACACACACACACCGATAGACAAAACAAGTTTCCATCTATGATGATCAAGCTTTACAGGTAGGCAAAGTAAGAACAATGCTGCTTGAGAACTTAGAGTTTGATTTAAGGATATTTCCTTTGTATATTTTGACATTTTGTGTTTTAATGGTTATAAAGTTTTAACTTTTTGAGTCACATATACTGTCATTAAATAATTGTCTAATCCCCCCATAATTTCCTGAAACTCTGAACATTCACATCAATGAAATAAAAGTACTATTATTTTTGTTTTATCCATTTTGTCACAGCCGCTATCTTAGAGCGTGATCTCCTGGGTTCCTATGTGATACTTTAAGATGAGTGTTTTGGGGATGGGGGGATTGCTTATTACTTATATAATATCTATACTGTGATAGGGCCTACAGTCTCCAATCTCATAGTGCCAGGCCCTGTCAGAACATAGAAAACAGACCTTTCTCCCGAGCTGACATTTCTTCCACTCATGCAGCGAGGAATGAAGCAGGTGCATGGAATGGAAAGCTCGCTATCTGTAACAAAGGTGGGTGTGAGGCAGCATCTGCTAAACCTTCACATTTTCAAATCAACAGGTGAGATACCTTATCCCCCAGAGGCTTAAGAGAGCTAGCGGAGGAATTATCAGAACCACTAATGTTAATTTGTAAATTAGCTGGGGTGATTCCTAGGGGTTGCAGGACTACCAATGTAAATGCCAATATTTGAAAAGGGTAAAAGGGATGATGTTGGGGTTACAGATGGGTTAACCTGATGTCGAGCCCAGGTAAAATTAGAGAACTGTTAGTTCAGGACTCTCTCAATACAGAATTAGAGGCTAAAAATACAATTAATGCCAGAAAGCGTGGGTTTGTGGATGGTAGGTCTTGTCAGACAAGCCTGCTGTCTTTTTTTTTGACAAGTTTACAGGTCTGGTTGATAAATGCAGCTGTGTTGATACAATATACTTAGATTTATTTAAGGCATTGGACTTCGTACGACATGACATCTTGATTAAAAAAACTTGCATCATATGGAATTAACAGGGCACACATTAGATGGATTAAAAACTGGCTCACTGACAGACCTCAAAATGTGGTTGTTAATGAGGAGATATCAATGAGTGGGGCCATTACTTACCAGGGTCCCCCAGGGATGGGTTCGGAGTCCAACTCTATTTAAAATATTTATCAATGATCTAGAAGAGGATATAAAATCTCTGCTGGTAAAGTTTGCAGATGACACAAAGATTAGTGTGGTAGTAGATAATGAGAATAGAGTGATCTGATTTGCCTTAATACAGCCAATGCAAGGTAATATGTCTGAGAACCAAGAAGGCAGGATGTATCTACAGGATGTGTCTTGGAAAGCGGTGAGTCAGAGAAGCGTTTAGTGGTCATCATAGGTAATCGCCTCAACGTGCTCTCAGTGCAACGCTGTGGCCAAAAGGGCTAATGTGGTCCTTGGAGGTATGAAAAGGGGACTATCCAGTAGGAGTAGGGAGGTGAACTTGCCTCTGTACACAATGTTGGTACGACTGCTGCTGGAACACGGTGTCCGGTCCTGGGGTCTGCACCTCAGGAGGGATGTGGAAATCCTGGAGATAGTTCCAAGGAGGGGCACAACAATGACCCCGGGTCTGGAAAACAAGCCTTGTGGTCTGAAGCTTGTGGCACTCAGTCTGCTCAGTTTGTTGAAGAGAAGCTGAGAGGGGATGTGATCACTGTGCCCGGAAACGCAGAAAGGAGATCTGAGTTGGGCGGGGGGGGGGGGGGGGGGGGTCTTTACTACCTTGCTGACAAGGCAGAACAAGAATCAGTGTCTGGAAGTTGAAGTTAGACAAATTCACCCTTGAAATGAGATGCCTTTTCCTAGCTGTGAGGGTAACGAAATATTAGACCAGCTTCCCAGGGGAGCTGGCAGCCTCACCACCACGTGGGGCCTTTGAGGAGATTAGCTGTCTTTCTAGAGGCCACGCTTTAATCCAGTTGCTGGGGAACATTCTGCAGCCTGTCATACAGGAGCTCAGCCCAGGTGATCACTGTGGTGCCTCTGGCCTTAGAATCTATGGGATCGAAGTGTAAATAACGTACAGGCACAAACTAGCGGAGTTATAAAAGCAAAGCTTCAGGAGTTTGATTTATAACCCAAACTCCCAACGTTCTGCAGCTGCCAGAGGAGCATTAACCGTGTCTGTTTCTCCCTCCACAGAGCTTCCCCTGACCCTGTCACCCTCAATGGAAGCACAGGTATGTCGCTAATGTGATTTTTCAGAAAACTGTTCAAGCAAATAAATCTCATGTCTTGTGTGTGTGTGTGGATGTGCACAGACGGTTTCGTTTTAAACCCAGACAGAGCTCTGATGACAGCATTAGCTCATCCCCTTTCTAGACCAGCTGCTTCTTGCAGTGTCCTGGCCTTTGCACCGCTGGGTCCTGCAGTCAGCATGCATGGTGGGGGCTGAGGGAGGAGGAAGCATTGTGCCCCGTGATTATTGTACACAGGAAAACTCCATTCAAAAAAGCATGATGTGGCCATTTGGGGAACACCTCTCGCTGACTCCTGCTCAGGTGTCAGGTCTCAGGCCTTTCCCTCTCCTGGGGTGAAGTAACGTGAGTCTCTCGCTCTTAGACCAGGCCCTGAGCTACATCAACCAGTGTATGGGTGATCGGACTGAGTTCGGCACTTGCGGTTCTTCCCAGCGGGAGTCTGAGACCAATGGGGATTCTAGACTGACCAGCCAGCCAGCTTCTTTAATATTAACAGTAGGAAGAAATCATAACATAAGAGAAAAGGGGGTTTAAACCGGCAAACAGTCTGCATGCATGTCTATCTTACTTAGAGCTTACCGTTCCCTGATGGAAGCTTAGGAAAGCCTAACATCTTCAGACACCCCAGCGCTGTCTGTGTGTCAGTCTGAACACCTCAGCAACAACTGCCTGACCTCCGGACAGTCGGCCTTTTTAATGCTTCAGTCCTTTTGATCTGCTGGCCCCAGCACTGGGAGAGCAAGCTTTGTAATGGGGCTTATTGCTCAGGCATTGTCTCTTAACCACCCTGAAGAGCTTACTGGGAGTTGGCGTATCTTGAACTGTTATTCCACTTCCAGATTGTTTTTCCAGCAGCCTGCTGCTAATGTAACCAACACATCCATACAGTGAGCACCCCAATACCATGTCACACACACAATCCACCAGTTGTCACAGAGCAGCCTGGGTCTGTCACACTCTTCTCAGGGGAAAGATTCAAGGACTGAGCTAAGAATATAGGTGGGTCACTGATTGATTCTCCTCCTGTGTAACCATGTGCCCTGACAGAGAGCGGTGAAGAGCCAGAGGCTGCTGTAAATATGGCCATTAAAGTTCTGACTGAGTGCATAGGTCATGACCTGCCCAGATACACAGAGCCAGAGCAGCCGGGAGGCCTTCCAGGGCATTCTGTCTCTCCCCAGGTTGCAGTGACTAGCCTCAAAGCATGAAAATAATGGGACAGGTGCAGCGCATCTTCTGGCATTACAGGGGACGGTTCCTTTCTGCCGCTGCCTGGCGCGGTGTCAGCAGGCTGGGCAATCGCTGCTCTCAAACCATCGCTCCCTTTCCCTGCTCCAGCCGCACGTGTACTTGGTGCGTGTGAAGGGGCGGCAGCTCCACCAGCTGGCCTGGTTCCAGGTCACGGCGGCCGATCCAACGCCCCGCTGCATACGCTGTGTGCTGCATTCACTGCCCTGGTGGCCGGGTGGCTCTTGTTTTTGAAATTGGACACACATTTTTTTGCCCTCTGCCACTGGCTGGCGTTTCATATTTTACCAGCCAATCAGACTGCAGCATGAGTGACTGTGCTCAGTGAAATTGGCCAAAGCAAACTCCAGCCAGTTAGAGACGCAGGAGAGCGATCAGGCTGCTTTTACTGTGTTATTAACCAATTGTAGAACCGCAGGAGAGCATTTGAAACGGGTTAATTGTCATATGAACCAGTCATATCTCCATGCTCACCCCTCACCTCTTGATTCCCCACCCACGTTCCGACTTTATCTATCTAGGAAGAGCCACCTAACAGCCTGACTTGAGCAACTGCTCTCCCTGCTCCAGGCCCCTGCAGATCTCAGTTTCCAGGGGCTGTATCCTCAGGGGGGAGCCCCACCCCAGGCCCTCTCAGTGCCAAGTCCATTTGAAGTGACTGGAGCATGGCTGGTCCTGGAGCCTTCATTCACAGTAACTGCCCACCACAGGCCTGTTCCCCCAATGGCGGCAGCAGCGGCTGCAGGCCCATACTCCTCAGTCTGAGCATCACTGCCCTAGGCTCGCCAGCCGCCTTAATGCGTCTCCTGCGGCTCTTTGCAGCACAGGATATTAGAACACTGGGTGACTGAATTCTTAACCCATCTAAGTTATTAACCAACCAGGAGGCTTTTACTATGTTATTAACCAATTGTAGTTGATAAAATAATAATACTTGATCAGTCATTTTGCTGTGAGAATAGTATCTATCTATATGTACAAACTGTAAATGAATTCACAGGACTGTGGCTCTTTTGGGTAATGTTGCTTGCTAATTTGACTCCTGAACCACTGAAGTCTGTCACTGTTCTAGGGTCAATGGAGCCACTGGAGTCTTTCTGCTGACTTGGGTGGGCTTTGGATCAGGCCCCAGATCTGCCTTAGCAGCAAGGTGTAGGCAGAGATAAGCTATCAGCGCAGCGGCCTTTTGTAGACTGCCGCATGCAGTGTTTGCCCGGGTCAGGAATGTATCCCGGTCCAAAGTTCAGCCCGTTTCTGGCTCCTTTCCACTCTCCCTGCCTGAGTGACTTTCTCTCCCTTCCCTCGCCGCCAATGGCGAGTGTTTTCTCTCCTCCCGGAGAGTCTGGGGTAGCTAACAGTGCAGTGCCTGTTGGTCCCAGCAGGACTGTTCGCAGAACCTCTGCTGCTTCTTTCCCTCAATCCCCTGGGCTGGCTCATGCTTCCCTCCACTCCCATGATAATGGAGTCACGATAAACAGCAAAGGCCTGGAAGATTCCTGGGGGGCAGGGGAGGCAGCCATCTTCATGGCCCAAACAGCATCATAAGCCTCTCACAGCCAGCACGTAAGGTCATGGGAGGCTGGGGCTGGTGGAAGGGGTATCTGTCACCATGTATCCTACAGCTCCCTCTCCACCCACCAGCCAGCACGGAGCACCAGGGGACCCTTTTCTCTCATACCGCTCCGGGCAGCTTTGCATTTGCAGGCTTCATGGGAAAGCCGATGGGCTGTATCTAATTCAGACACAGGGCTGAGGAGGCTGAGGCTGGAACATGGAGCTTTCACTTCCAGGTCACCAGCTGGCACCATCCCTGCTTGTTACTAATCATATCAGTGAGCCACTCGGGGGGGGATAGGGTGGGACAGGGGTCTCTAGGTGTGGCCAGACTCCCCCCAGACTCAGCACTACCCTTTGCGCAGGGGTTCTCAAACTGGGGGTCGGGACCCCTCAAGGAGTCGTGAGGTTATTACATGGGGGGTCGTGAGCTGTCAACCTCCACCCCAAACCCTGCTTTGCCTCCAGCATTTATAATGGTGTTATAAATTAGAAAACACTTTTTAATATATTTAAGAGGGTCACACTCAGAGGCTTGCTATGTGAAAGGGGTCACCAGTACAAAAGTTTGAGAACCACTGCCTTCGCGGGAGCCAAGTTTGGTAATACACAGCAGGCTCACTAGGGGGTGCTACATGGTGATGGAAATCCTCCAAATGGCAGCAGTATGTGAAACGCATGGGTGGGCGGGGGGAAGGAAAGCATGATGTGTGATACCTGGCCCATTCCAGTGCTTGGCTACAGAGCTTTGTGATGCCCCTTCCCATGTCATGTGCCCTCGGCCAGCGTCCTAGCGCTGAAATCAATGTTTCTAGCTCTTCCTTGCCCTCCAGATGGGCGGCATAGCGCCTGCTGGCTGCCCAAGCCGCAGTGGGCAGATGGGTAAGGCTGTGCGCCCAGCATCTAAACAACACCTTGTGCCCTTCCGGCTGGCCGCCTCCTCTGTGCGTGCCCTGGCATTGTTTGGGGGTAGAGATCGCAGTGCAGCTACACTGGATGTCTCAGCCTCCTCCCCTCCGGAGGCATCTCAGCGTAACTGGCCTTTCCCAGCCTCAGCCTCTGCTCTGCTCTCCTGTTTCCTTGCAGATGGTGCAGTCGCTGGGATTTGCCATTTACCGGGCGCTGGACTGGGGGCTGGACGAGAGTGAGGAGCGAGAACTGAGCCCCCAGCTGGAGAAGCTGATCGACCTCATGGCCAACAGCGACTCTGACGACAGCGGCTGCGGCATGGCGGACGAGGGCTACGGGGGGCAGGATGAAGAGGAGGAGGCTGTGGAGGGGCTCCCACGAGCAGTGCGCACCTTCGGGCAGGCCATGAGGATGTGCGCCGCTCGCCTGACGGCCCCCCAGGAGGCACAGCAACATTACCAGGCTGTGTGCAGGGCCCTCTTCGTGGAGACGGTGGAGCTGAAGGCTTTTCTCAGCAAGATCCGGGAAGCTAAGGAGGTGAGAGCCAGCCTTCCCCGCAGGAGCCTGGGGCGACCCGTCCTCCCCCAGAGCCAGAGCGTGTGGCAGTGATGCACGGCTAGGTGCCCACAGCCTTTGGTACTGCCATAGGGATTGGCTGGGAGGCTTCTTCACCACTTGCCTTGCCCTCTAAGCCGCTGGTGCTGCACTCTGACTCAGAGGGGGCAGCATCTGAGTGTTGGGTGAAGTCGCCCCTGAAGAAACGCTGCTCTTCGTGTTGCATTAAGGACCTGATTCCCCACTGCTTTGCTGCAGCGTTATGCCAGTGAGTGGAGTCATCCCAGTGTAAAAGTGGAGTAACACAGAGCTACCTAGGCCCCCCGGTGTGTAAAGCGCTGCAGATCTCAGGGCCCTGGTAGCTGGGCATCTACTCCCTAAGGGAAATCCTTAGAAATCTGCACTTCTAACCGTCGGGGGGACCAGGGTCGGGGGCATCCCTGGGATTTCCTTCTGGCTTTTGTTCTCCGGGATGGCTGGTGAAAGCCAGCCATTTGATGCCAACAGACTGGCTTCTCCATTCCCACAGTGGCTCCGGACTTTGCTCTCACCCAGGTCATGCTCTCCTCAGTGATTCTGGTGCAGGGGCCATACAGTAACTGGCCCATGGCCTCACGTTCTGCCTTTTCCAAGCCTTCTGTTGAAGGGAGGGGTTTGTTGGGAGCAGGAATTGGCCTCCATTAGTGATACAAATACTCAGTATGACTTAGTTCCCTCTCCCCAGCTCACACAGCACTTTGCACAGGTTCATTGTGACCTCACCCCATGTGACTCACATCAGAGGCACGAGAGCAGGAGAAGACGTGAGATGCCAGGTCAGGGTTGGTCCCTACAGACTCTTCTCCAGGGCTTTGTCCAGCCCAGCATTAGTTGACTTCATTGACGGGGCTGCTACATCTCACCATGAGGGAGTGTCCCCCAATAGTCCCCAAAATCTCCCTTTGTCTTATTTCATCCCCTGGCTCCTGATTTATACCGCAGTGCCGCCTGAGACAGTCCTCCTCCCTGGGAGGGAGGTGTTCTGAGCCCCATTTGACAGCAGAGCCAGGATCTCAGTCCTCTGCCCTCTGCTCTAACTGTCAGCCCACCCGTCCCCCTCCCCAGGCCTCTGTCCATTGTGTGCCAGGGCCCAGAGGAGGCGGCCTACCATGTGCATTTCGCCCTGGCGCTGCTCCCAGGGCAGAGCCAGGATCGTATTTATAAAAATGGGACACCGGGAGAAATCAGGAGGTAAGCCCCCTGAGACCCTCGATAGCTAGGCAGCGAGGTGGTTCACTAGCTTTCTGTGAGAGGTTTCCCTATATCCTGGTGTGGGGAAGGGCACCAGAGTCCCCGACCCTAACACAGCGCTACCATTCAACAGCTAATTTCAGCTCCTCTGTCTCGTTTTAAAAGGCCGTGTCCCACCCCAGCCCTGACTGATAGTTGCCCACGCAGCTACCCCAGCCTGCAGCTTTCCAACGCAGGGCCCAGTGGGCTCAGTCAGGGAATTCCCAGCGCAATACCTGCGGTCCCAGTGAGTATCTCAGGTCTGCCGTCTGGTGGCCAGATACCGCAGAACACTTGCATTGGTCTATGGCCGGACTCTACTGTTGGGGAATTAGCACTGCTGCAGACAGTGCGCTTGCTGCTGTACAAGACACACACATGCCCACGGTCCCTGTCCCAGAGCTTTCAATCTTTAGTGGGCAGCTAGTGCTTGCAGAGCATGGGATGGGGGGATAGTTCAGGAGTCCTGCGTAGGAGAAGTCAAAGCAGCAATACAGGAATGGAGCTGTGTGCATCAGAGCACCCCGCTGACTGCTCCATTGCCAGACCCAGAGGGGCAGACCCTTGATTCTCTGGGAAGGCCTGGGCTGGTCTGGGAGGGCAGGAGTCTGAATCTTTGGCTCTTCCCAGTGTACCGAGCTGCTCTAGCCTAAGATGATGATGATGACTGGTATTGGGATAGTGCCCAGAGGCCCCGGTCAGGATCAGGGCCCCATTGTGCTGTATGCACACACAGTACAAGACTGTCCCTGCTCCACAGAACTTAGCATCTCGCCCAGCAGCAGACCCCACGGGGGAGAGAGGGCAGAGCAATCCGGCAGCAGCAGGACCCCAGGCTGCAGAGCTGAGTTGTGTGCATCAGTCGCTGGCTTTGAGTCTGTTTGGTTTGCTTTTCTCTGCCTCTCCTCCCAGAGGTGGTAATGACCCCCTAGCACAGCCATTGTGTGTGGTGCTGGGTGAGACGCAGCCCCTGACCTGACAGGACCTGCAGGGGAGTCTCCAGGACGCTCCACGAGGCCCAGCATTTGCCTTTGCAGGGGAGTGAATCTGCTCCACAGCGTCACCATTCCCTACGTGACGGGTGGGTTCTTCAAGACCCCATTGGCATTGGGGGGTTGGTGTCTTATGGCACCTGCTCTGACACAAGTCAAGCAAACCCGCAGTCCCAGCCTCAAGGGGGTTAAAGATTAAGCTGCAGTTTCCTAGGATTGCCTTGAACTCCGCCCTTACGGGTAATCACAAGGCAATCATCTGTTCCAGGAAGCGATCTCATCAATCCAACGGCAAAGGCATGTGCTCAGGAATTGATGGGGTCAGCGGTGTTACCAAGAGGCTGTTCACTTGCTCATTAACCTTATGAAACAGCTCAAGAAAAATGTATCCACCTCCCCTTGCTCATCCATCCCGACACCCGTGTCTCCAGCAATGCCTGGGGCATGAGTTGTGGTGGGCTCCAGAAATGCCACGTAGGGAGCCTGATATCCTGCTGGGCATTGCCGTGCCTGGTGGAGGGGAGAATTGCTGAGCTGCTGTGAGGGTGGGGGGGAGGCTGTGACCCCATTTATAGGATGGGAGGAAGCAGGGACCCGCTGACTGCAGTAAGCACTCATCCGATGTTGGGCATGTGGCAGAGTGGTTCAGCAGCCTGAACACTGGAAGGGAAACCCTGTATATATTTGGGGTCACAAGATGATGGCAGGACTATGCAGACTGCCCCATGTCCACATGCTGTGGATGCCCTTCCCACATGGGCCTGAGTACCCATTTCCCAGGGCAGCCTGGAAATAAGGCGTACCTTTTTAACAGTGACAGTCATTAACCACTGGGGCAATCTACCCAGGGTCATGGCGGCGTCTCCAGCACTGACAACTTTTACATCAAGACGGGATGTTGTTTTAGAAAATCTGCTGTAGGACTTATTGTGGGGCAGTTCTCTGGCCTGTGCTATCCAGGAGTCAGACTGGATAAGCCCAGTGGTTCCTTCTGGCCTTGGAATCTATGCAGACCTCTGACACTGCAGCTCATGGGCACAAGCAGCAAGGCATGAGAAGGTTCCCCCAAGTCCTTCACAGCAGGCTCACACCTGCCCAGATGCACTGTCCCCGCTCGTAATGACATCCAGGAGGCAGCTGCAAGCAGCCACCATGTTATTACCCAGCTCCATGCAGCAGGCACGCAGGCCATGCAGGATGGGTCGGGCTGTGGGGAAGGTTTAAGATTGCCAAAGATGATCTGATGCAGGCAGAACAGGTGAGGGGCCAAATACTGACCCTATAGCTGCCCTACCCACTCTGATGACTTCCTGGCTCTCCCGGGTAGTTTGAACAGGCTGGCCCAGGTCCTTCCAGCCGAGGGCAATGCACCTTCCGTTATTTCAGCCATGGGTTAGAAAGTCTGCAGCATGTTCCCGGGTGCAGCCCTGGGCAGTTGTCTGTGCACCAGCCAGCGTGCAGGTCAGGTCAGATGCCGCACGGTGGAAGCAGATGATGCTTCAGCATCACGTGAGATGAGCCTGGGAAACACAACCGCAATTTGCCAGCAATGATAGAGTCTCAAGGTTTTCTCAGTGGCGGCCAGGCTCTGATCTGCGGTGGGTTTATTAGCAATAAATAATAGTTCTCATTCCTCTGCTCCTGTCATTCCAAAGGCTCCCACAGCATGTTCCAAATTACACACACAGCTCCAGTGAAATGCAGCCCCCTCTGGGGGGGAAGGCAGTAACCATCCATCCCTCCCAACGCTGTAGGGCGGTGACATACCCTCCTCTCCCAGGAAGTGCCATGGGACCTTTAACATCTGGACTGAACAGGCAGGGCCTCAGCTTGCCAGACAGTGAACTGCATGGAAATCGAAGTGTCCAGAGCTTCTCCTGGGGCACACGTTGCTGCTGGGGAAGACACAGGGGCTGTGCTCAGAGTCCATTCCAGGGGCTCCCAGAATCCAGGGGGGTGAGAATCCATCTCCCATCATCCCCCACAGGTGCTGCACATGGCTCAGTTGAGATGGAACAGTCCTAGGATGTATTTGGCAAGACCCACAAGCACATTCCCTTGGGGCCCGGCATGCTCCTGGCTAAGAACCTCCCCCCGGGCTCCAGTCAATGGCACCTGGACAATCTCCCTGCCCAGCTCTCTACCCTAAGCTGTGGTTAACGGCCCCAGCTAGGGGAGTGGGTGGCTGGGGTCAGACCCAATGCATGACCAGACTTGCGGCTGCTGCAGAGTAGCTCCTTGGGGCAGGGACCAGGCCTTCTTTGTGACTTGTATCTGGCCAGGCACATTCAGTGCCCAGTAGCCTATGGAAGCTGAGCCTTGTGGAGCTGGGATGGAACTCCTTGGCCCCGCAACCCCCTACTGGGAGTGTAATTGTATCCGGGGGGAGGGACTGGCAGATGGGGGCCGAGGATCTGGGCACTCTTTCCTCATGCCCAGGGGTCCCTCTTTTTATGGGACCTGTTCAGCCAGGATTCTCCTAGGAGCATGTTGGGCTGGTGAGGTGCTGGGGACCCAGCATGGGGAACGTGACATTTCTGTGCTGCTGCAGATGCTGAGGAAGCTGAGGGAACAGGAGGAGGAGCTGGAGGAGAGGTCGACGGATGAGCTCGATAACCTGCAGAACACAGACTGGGTAAGTGGCGAAGGGTCGTCTCCCTGTGGGCGCTTTGATCAGCAGCTCTTGCCTTGCAGGAGACAGAGGTAGTGCGGGGCTGATGGAAACCTGTCCGGGCATTCTTGTTTTGGCAGCACTTGGGGAGAAGGGCTGGGATCCCGCGGGCCCAGAGGTGTGGGAACCTGCAAGCACCACTGGCTTAGACGTGTCACTGGGGAGACCCAGTCATTCCTGGGACAGCAGGCACTGGGGTGCTGCAGAGACAACGTGCTCAGCCCTGCAGATTTATATCACCTCTGGCCAACAAAGGGGACGCTGATGGGCCATTCCATCCAGCCTGGCCTGATGGTGCGTGAGGGAGAGCATCATGAAAATGGGGGAGCCTTTGGGGAGCTCCCCGAGTCCCCCTGGGGACCCCTTCAAGGACTGGATACAGATCCCTGAGAGGCAGAACGATTGCGGCCATTGCGATCACTGGGAGGAGCGCAGAGAGTGTTGGGAACACGGAGGGGAGTGTGGGAGTGAGGTGCACTGGACAGGTCATAGCTAGAGAATGGGGCACTGACCCTGCCTCCTCAGCATCAGGGTCATGATCCAGAGCCTTCCCCCCGCACCCCCTGGAGAGCTGGGAAGGGAATGGACACCTTTGCAATACAGACACTGCCCTCTCACCTGAGCCTGCCCAGCAGGGAAAGCCACACTAGCCAGCCCGTTGGATTTGGCATGGACCAGGACGTGGGTGGTCAGGCCCAGTGGTCGGAGCAGCGGCGCTCAGAGCCAGTGTTAGGAATCAGGAGCCCAGTGAAGGGCTCAGGAACCAGGAGGAGGGCTGGAACAGGCTGGAGCAAGGCAAACGCAGGAGAGATCGCCACTGCGGGCGAGTGTGTTGAGCAGCCATTGGCCAAGTGCTGCTGCTGGGCTTAGGAGCGGCCCTGGCAATGCTGCTCGGCCAGGCAGGCCATCTGGCCAGTTTTGGCTGTGGTTGTCAGCTAATCCCAGGCCCGGCTGCAGGCCCTCGTTCCTGACAGGCTTCTGGGCATAGTCACATGCTCTAGACTGGAAGCCACTTGCCACCCCCATCGGAGTTAGAGATGGGAAGGGCAGTGGGAGGTGACCCCGTCCATCTCCCTGCCAGTGCAGAATTGTTCCTCACACCAGGGCTAAGCATGCTGCCATCCACCCGCCAGGTCAAGCCCCAGTGGCGGGGGGAGCACACACAGCCCCCGCTGGGTTCCGTTCACAGGGCTCATGTCCCATGGTTAGCTGGGGCTCCCTTCCCCCATGAGGAAACCTGTGATGCCGCGGGCTCATCTCCTCGGTAAGGGGCAGTTGCCCATTGTGTCTGTTCCAGGCCCGGCTGTGGGTGCAGCTGATGCGGGAGCTACGCGACGGTGTGAAGCTGAAGAAAGTCCAGGAGAAGCAGTACAACCCCCTGCCCACCGAGTACCAGCTGACGCCCTTTGAAATGCTGATGCAGGACATCCGAGCACGCAACTACAAGCTTCGCAAAGTCATGGTGAGCACAGTCATACCCAAGGGGCCTGAGCCACGGCCAGGGGGTGACTGCCATGGAGTGCAAGGGTCCTAGTGACACACCATCTGCCTTTGGGCTGGAGCCCCCCCACCTCCACCTCCTGGACCAGCTGATGCTGAAGGCCTAGCTCATCGTAGGGCTCACGCTGCTGCTGGGACACCCCTCACTGGGCATTTCAGAGCCACCCCCAGGGTAATACATGCCCCTCCACAGACCAACTCACCCTAGTGCCTCCGCAGAGCCGAGAATCCTAGGACTGGAAGGGAGTTCGAGAGGTCTGTGCTGGGTTCCCCCCAGAGTGCCACCCAGAACTGGGGTACCACTGAGCCCCCTGACCCACCAGCCTGGGCTCCCTCTCACACTGTACTGCTGTGACAAGCTGCAGTGCCCTCCAGCCTGCACTTTCACCAGCATTCACACAGGTAGGGACACACCCAGCTGCAGTTACATGCAGGCTCTCTAACCACCAGCATCCCAGCCTGGGATCCAGAGCAGTACGTCCTGCCCTGGTCAAATCTGGCCAGTATATGGGTTTAATACCAGGTCCACCTCCCCCTCAATGTGAAGAGAACAATGCACACTTGTGGCAACCAAGCCGAGATTTCCCCAAAGCACTCCAGTCACAGCTCACTGGTTTAGATTAAAACAAAAACAAGTTTAACAACTACGAAAGATGGATTTTAAATGATTATAAGTGATAGCAAACAGATCAAAGCAGATTACCTAGCAAATAAACAAAAAATGCAAACTAAGCTTAATATACTAGTGAGATTGGACATGTCCTTGTAGAGTCACAGCAGCCATCACTCACAGGCTGTCTGGAGTGTTCTCAGGGAGGCTCATCACCAGGTGGGAGATAAGCTTCTCCTAAGGCCTATTGTTCTCCCTAATGACTCACTGCCCTGAATAGGCCCTTCCCCACCAGGTACACATCCTGTCTAGGAGGCGTTACCAGGTGTAACTAGATTTGAAGTACAGATACATAGTCAGTATTTATAACTTCAGATACAAATGACACATGCATACAAAGAGGATAATCATATTCAGCAAATCATAACTTTTCCAATGACACCTCACATGACTTATCATGCATAAAATATATCATAATATGCTATAATCATATCATAATAGCACTATGAAGAATATGGGGTGCAGTGTCACAAGGTCATCTAGTCCAGTCCCCTGCACTGAGGCAGGACCATCCCTGACAGGTGTTTGTCTAACCTGCTCTTAAAAATCTCCAACCATGGAGATTCCACAACCTCCCTAGGCAATTCATTCCAGTGCTTAACCACCCTGACAGTTAGGAAGTTTTTCCCTAATGTCCAACCTGAGCCACCCTTGCTGCAATTTAAGCCCCTTGCTTCTTGTCCCATCCTCAGAGGTTAAGGAGAGCAATTTTTCTCCTTCTCCTTGTAAATACCTTTTATGTACTTCAAACCTGTTATCATGTCCCCTCTCAGTCTTCTCTTCTCCAGACTAAACAAACCCAGTTTTTTCAATCTTCCCTCATAGGTCATGTTTTCTAGCCCTTTAATCATTTTTGTTGCTCTTCTCTGGACTTTCTCCCATTTGTCCACATCTTTCCTGAAACGTGGCGCCCAGAACTGGACACAATACTCCAGCTGAGGCCTAATCAGCGTAGAGTAAAGCGGAAGAATTACTTCTTGTGTCCTGCTAATACATCCCAGAACAATGTCCTTTTTTTGCAACAGTGTTACTCATATTTAGCTTGTGATCCCCTCTGGCCCCCAGATCCCTTTCCGCAGTAGTCCTTCCTAGGCAGTCATTTCCTGTTTTGTAGAGTCATTAACTCTCCCTCCTCTGTCTGCCCATCCCTCTCCCCACCAGGTGGATGGTGACATCCCCCCCAGGGTGAAGAAAGATGCCCATGAATGCATTCTGGATTTTATACGGTCACGGCCGCCACTGAAACAGGTAACGTCCGGGTGAACTCTAGTGCCCGGGCTGCGGGTTTCTGACTGACCAAGCGCTCAGGGGCACGTGAGAATCCTCGGGAGGAAATCGGTTCTAAATCACTGACTCAGTGAAAGAGCCTCCCTACCGAAGGGAGAGGTTGGCGCACTGTCTGGATTTTCTAGTGTCAGGAGCACTGCTCCAGTGTCCCCTTGTTACCCAGGGTTATCAGACCCCAACAGGCGGTGTAAGGAATAAATCAACGGGAACTCAGCGATTCTGTCTGACCAAGGAGAAATGCAAGTCAGCGTGCTTTTGTCTAACACTGCCGTTTATTAGATTTAAGTACACACAGATATAAGCAATAGGTCTAGAACATCCCAGATATTTACCTATATTCTGAGACGGTATTGAGTAATCAGTCACAGATCAGCGCTGGCCAAACGCCTTCCTGCTGGACTGCTCTCAAATACCCTGTATTATCTGAACTTTTTATAACTAACTTCTACTAAACACATAGTAGGGGTCATTATAATCTAAGTCATCACTTTTCCTAACTTTCAATAAACATTTACTATCAGAGGCATCTAGACTCAAGGCTGTCCATCCACATATCTTTGTTTCACTCTCTGTTATTTACTTTTTCTTCCCCTCCTCCCATACTGATTAGCAAAACTGCCAGTAGCTATGACCTTGCTTCTGAAAGCCTGTCTCCAAGTTAACCCTTAACTATGTGGTGTTCTAGTTCGTTAATTCATAGTGGCTGAGTGCACATAATATGGTTGCAATTACCTTGATCACATTCTGGGGTATATGCTCCCCTCAAATCCAGCGCAACGCCCTTGTCCCGTGCAGTGTCCCAGCACTGGAGACTGCTCTCCTCTCCGCTTCCAGGGGCACTTTCCCCTTTTCCTGGCACTTGCCTAGTGAGGAGGACCGGATGTGAGGGCCCTGCCTGCTGCCGGCTGGGGCTGCGGAGAGAGGCTCAGCTGGGACCCTGCTGGCATGAGCTAGTGGCGCTCTTCCTTCAGCAGAACGCCTGGAGTAACACTGTGCCCTCGCGGCTGGCTCCAGGGGCAGCAGCATCGGCTTTGGGACCGAGAACCCCAGCGCTCTCTGTGGGCCCCGTTGTGATCTCTGCTCCTGGGGGGGCCAAGCACATTACACGGGGCGATAGCGCAGTCATGGCTACTCCCCTGTCCAACATGAACAGGTAGCCTGGGGAGACGGCAGGTCTCAGGCCAACAGTGCCACGCTGTCCTTGCAAAAACAGGAGTGGCAGCCATGTGACCGCTGTAAGGGAAGCGAGGGGCTGCCCGGGGGCTCCTTGGTTGGGGAAGTTTGGGCAGCCCAGGTTCACAGCTGCCCAGTGCAGCGTCTCTGTGCTAAGCGGCCTGTTTCGTCTGCTCCTGCCCCTGCTGCAGGCGTCCGAGAGGCGGCTGCGCCCCATGCCCCAGAAGCAGAGAACGCTCCACGAGAAGATTCTGGAAGAAATCAAACAAGAGAGAAAACTTCGCCCAGTCGAGACGCGCCGCCAGGGTCAGAAAGGTACCGTCCCAGCCTGCTCCAGTGGGGAGTCACGTAGCTGCGAGGCTCCATCCAGCATCCCCGGCCTTGCCTCAGCATGTGGAACTTGTGGGCACCCCCGAAACGCTGGCTCATCTGGGAGAGTCCTGAGGGGGGATGCAGGGCGCTCCCAAAGCTGCCAGCGAAGAGAAATCATAGGCTCTCGGGGAGCAGCTCCAGCCCTAACCCCCAGAGGGTGCTGTTGAAACGTGACCCATTCCAGATGTTCTGTACAAAACCAAATGCCAGATTAACAGTGCCCAGCACTGGCTGCCAGCAGGGTTTGAACCCAGGACATTCCCAGAGCCCCCAGCCCGCTCCGCTCCCCTCTCCCCTAGGCAGCGTGCGCGGCTCCTCCCTCCCACCTCCCCGTGCAGCGAGCTCTGTGCTCGGGAGGAAACTCAGAGGCCACGACTGCCCCAGTTTGAGGGGAAGGCATGACGGGCAGCTCTACCCCAAAGGTCAATTCCTTCCCGCTGCCTGCTGAGACGTAGCCATCCAGCATTGGGCTGGCCCTCTAGGCCCCATTCGCTGCATGAGTCCAGGTCTTGTGTGGGGCGCTAGCGCCCATCAGCACTGGCCCCCAGCCCCATGGCTGGGGTGAGGAGTTCCCTGTACTGTGCTCTGTCATACTCACTTCCCTCCCATATGGGCTCAGGGGGCAGTTTGAAACTGCAGCCCCCTCTAAGGTATCCCTAGGCCACAGGGAAGCCCACCCCTCTAGGTGGATACCATCCCCCCATCGTCCTACCAGCCCTGCCCTGAGCACCTATGTAGTCTCTCCCCTCTCCTGCCTTGCAGGTTTTGGCTCCCTGCCCTGCATCCTTAATGCCTGCTCCAGCGACGTGAAGTCAACCTCCTGCATCAACCTCTCTGTACCTGACTCAAGCACCCCCGCCCAGCGCCTGCGGCCAAGGGTTCTGCTCAAGGCTCCGACGCTGGCCGAGATGGAGGAGATGAATATCTCCGAAGTAAGTGCTGGTTTTGTCTGTGGTCACTGGTGGGAGGGTGCTCAGGACTGCTGGTATCGGTGTCATCTGGGACAGCGAGGGGATGGCTGGCAGGGAGACACAGCCCTTGACATGAGTGCAGCAGCATGGCAGAGGGGCTCTGTGTCTGAAAGCCAAGTGCCCTGTGTCGCTTTGCTGGGCAGAGCTCACCTTCAAGCCTGCCATGTGACCCTTCTTGATGTCAATGGCACGGCCCTGCCCCCAGTACGTCAGGAGTTCTTCTGTTGGCTTTGGCGGGAGCAAGAGAGGGCTCTACAAGACTGGCTGGGCCAGGGTCAGGAATTGTTTACGGTAAGGGGGGGCAGTCTCTGCCTGACCCCTGGCAGCCCGGAGGGCATGCCCTGCCTTAGCTCCCCCTGAGTGGGGCCGCAATGGGTTCATGCGGAGAGCCCAAGGCAAGGAGAAGCCCCCCCCACACTAATAAATAGCATGTGGCCTTCTACTAGAGCTTCAGGCCAGCAGAAAGCTTCTAAGGCCTTCACCACAGGGCCCTGGGTCAGCTCCCAAACTTAAAGTTCACAGACACTCTTTGGGTAAACTGGTTTCCCAGACACTGAGGAAAAAACATCCCCCACTGCTACCTGCATGACTTCTGCTCAACTTCCTCTTCCTGTTTCTATAGCCCATCTCTAGGGTGGGGTAGGGCCTCCTTCATTACCCCCTACGCTAGCCCAGTGGTAGGCTTCAGCCTGTCCCTCAAAGGGGTAGTACTCCCATCCCGAGGGCGATGCCTTTCACTTCCAGGTCACCACTTCAAATCCAGCCCAGGACAATAGGGATTACAAGCTGTTGCTTTCTGCTGGTTGGGAACAGCCTGGGTATTGGTCTCTGGCCATCCCACAAAAACAACTAGCAGAGCTGGCCTCATTAGCAGTGCCAGCACAGAAGACCTCATGGTTGGCTGGACGGGGGGTGTGTGGGAGCTTGCGCTGAGGCCACACGGCTGGAACTCCAGTGCATCTTGCCAGCACTAAATTCTTTATTCAAAAATATGAAGCAACGGCCCCAGGCTCCCAGCTGGGTGGGAGATCAGGCTCTCAGCCTCTCTGGGGCTTTTGTTGTGTTGCCTCCTTTCTTGGACTGACTGACCAGTAAAGAGTTTGTGTTGGTGTTGTGGTGGCACAATAAAAATGGCAAAAAGTTCAAAATACAAAGTAGGGAGATAAAAGAGAGATATCTAAGTCAATACAGGAAAAGAATATCAAAAGGGCTTAGGTAGGCATCATATAGCTGGTCAGTAGTCTCGGCATCAGCAGTGTGGGGTCTGGAAAGTTCTCCTGATAGGCCAGCGCAAGAGGAGCTGCCATTCTTAGGGGTGTGGTGCCCTCAACTGCATCACAGAGGGCTGTCCCTGAGTCCCCAGGTGTGGCCATTTATCGCACCCTCACCACCCCCCTCTGAAACAGTGGAGCTTGTCCCAGAGGCAGCGTGGCAGCCTGAAGCCAGGCACTCTCTCACCAAGCTGAGTGAGGAAGGAGTTTCCTATAGAGGAGCAGCTTGTTCCCATTCCTCCATAGAAGTGGTCGGTAACGTGGCTCTGCTGATGAGATGGTGGCGAGGCGCTTCCATGTGTCTTTGACAAGTGCTGGGAGGTGGAATATGAGAGAGGGCTGGTAGCCTTTGGCTACTGTTGGTCTCATGGCTTGATTCAGCAGTGTTTGACAATGCAAGTTGAGCATGCAAGTTTATGTAGGAGGACATTTCTGCTCTTAATCTTCTGAGCTACCTTGGTGAGGTGATCCTTGTAGGTCCGTGTGCGGATTGTGCAAGGGTAGAGTTACTCCAAGATATACAGGCTTTGGATCATGTGTTAGTCATTCTCCATTCAAGAAAGGGTCGAGTTCTCATGACGCCTTGAGGTGATGGAGACAAAAGCATGATACCACACGGTCTTTGACATACTGGGCTTAAGTCTCCACTTCTTGCAATCGCCACTGACGGCTGCCGTGTGTTAGTTCAGTCTTTCTGTAGTCTCTGTCTCTTGGAATCAGGCAGATGTCATCTGCATTCTTGAATTACCTTGAAATTGTTGCAGGCAGATAATCCATAAATATGATGAAAAAGGTTGGAGCAAGAACAGATAGATCCCTGAGGGAGTCCATTCTTCTGGGTCCGGAATGTGCTCAGTTTTTTGCCTAGTATCACTTGGAATTGTCCGTGCTGAAGCATCATTTCCGTAGCCAGAACAACCCATGGAGGTAAAATCTTGATCAGGCCAGCGTGCCAGACGGTATCATATGTTGCTGTCAAGTTGAGAACCTCTGTCCCTGTCTTCTCCTCCTGCTGGAAACCATCTCCTATAGAGGTGGTAAGAGCAAGAACTTGGTCACAAATGCTCCTACTAGGTCTGAAGTCTGCCTGGTCATCACCCAGAGCCGCCTCTACTGTGAGCATCCTTCTCCCAGAATTAGTTACTCCGGAAGTCTGTAAACATGGCTCAGAAGTGATCTTGGATGGTAGCTAGCTGGAAGGGGTTTCCTGGCTCTGGTGTAGCTGTCGCCCTGGCTTTCCACCGTATCTTAGGCATCTTGTCCAGTTGGATGTCACAGGATATGAGAGTAGACAGCAATTTGATGCTCTTTTTACCAAGGTGTAGTAGCATTTCTGGAGAGACCTTGTCAAGGCAACCTGCTTCCCTGTGGCTCTGTGCTCTCTCTGCTTCCTTGCTGTGGGCGTCCATGGCAGTTACAGAGCGGCGCTCCGTTTTCTGAGCTCTTTGTCTTTTTGCTCGCTTTACCTGGACAGGGCTATAAGGAAGCAGCTGATGGTGAGTGATGGGAAGGGGAAAGGACAGCCCTGATGATGGATGGGATCTGTGCAGCCATCTCTCCAGTACCATTTTCCCAGGGGATGCATTGCACCACCCAAGATGCCCTCTCCATGGGCTCTCTGGGCACAGTAGGGTGTTGACGCTGCTCACAGTGGGTGCAGAGGGCACCAGCCAGGCTGGGTCAGGGACCTGGCACTCCAGAAAGCTGCCCATTGGCAGCTGCAGGACAGGGGCACTTTTACAGCCCAGGGCCTGCATGTTCATGTTGCTCTGTATGCCTTTGCAGGAGGAGGAGTCTCCAAGCGCTGAGATGGGGAGGGAGCCTGGCTTAGGGCTCCCCCTGAAGCGTGATCGTTCCTTCTCTGAACAGGACCTGGCCCAGTTCCAGAGCGAGAGGGGCACCAGCCAGCCCGATTCAGGGTATCTGGCACCACGGGAGTCTGAGCCAAGACCCCGCTCAGGTAGCATGAATACTGCACGGATCAGCATGGAAACCAAGGGCAAGTTCCTCCTACCTTCCCTTCCCTTCCCCTCCCCAGCTGATACAGCCTCCCTGTCCCCCCCCCCCCCCGCCCCCTTCTGGAACTGCACCTGTCTAGAGCAGCTGTCTCCGGAGGCACTGGGGATTGCACCTGCAAAGGGGACACAGGTGCGATCCCAGCTCAGGCCACCGTTCCCCCCTCCCCCGCTAATGGAAGGTGCCCCCCCTTAGGAGACTTTGCAGCGGGGTGCCAGGCTCCAGTCAAAGTCCGGGTTTGGGGACCAGCCCTCGTTCGTATTGGCTTGCCAGGAGCTCCTTTGCATCTCAGCTGCACAATGTAGAACCCTTCAGTGGTGCTGGAACACTTCTTATAGTGGGGGAGCTGCGCCCCCCCCCTTACCCTGTCCGCGCCCCTCGCTGCCCCCTAGAGCCGGGGCCAGGAGCAGGGTCACGGGTCCAGGAGGGGGGGGACGCGGCAAGGGGACCGAGGCTGGGGCCACAACTGGCGATGGGCGGGGAGCCCCAGGCGCAAGGCGGCAGCTGGGACCTCGGGCACGGAGGCAGCAGCTGGGACCCCGGGAGCGGGGCCAGGAGTAGAGCCCCTGTAAATCCTAGGGGTGCTGCAGCAGCCCCCGCACCCTTAGTTCCTGCACCTGTGGAACCCTTTGCTGGTTAGCAATGCCCAGAGTCTTCTGCCCTCTGTGGATGTTGTAGCGCAGCACTGGGCCCCTGCAGGACACCCCAAAACCACCGTCAGGGTTCTCCCTTCTCCCTAAGCTCTGCACCTCTAGAGGACACCTTGTGGCACACAGCCTTTGGCTCTGGCCCTGTTCTGTGTCACTCCCGCATCCGGCTCTGTCCCAGCAAGAAGTGCAGTTGTTGGAGCCCATTCCCCACGCTGGCCACTGCCAGACCCTGTACAGCCTCCTTCCCACCGGGCCCCTCTTGGTCCTGGTCCCGGGCCGGAGGGTTCCCAGCCTCCCTCTCGGCTGATGATCAGGGAGGAGCAGAGCTCAGCAGGACTGACTCTGGCTGCCTGCGTTATTCTCGTCCAGGTTCGTTCCCAGCCAGTTACCACCAGATCCCACCTAGCGCTGGTCCACTCACGGCCGACTGCGGCTCTCTCGGGGCTGTGGAGGAAAGGTCAGAGGGCAGCTCCAGCTCCACCCCAGACAGCAGCTCCAAGCATCTGTGGCTGGTAAGTGTCCGATTTGCATACGTCCGAGCTGTCCGGCGCTAGAGCCCTGAGCCGTGCTGACCAGGTCCCCCAGTATGTCAGCGAGACGCCCCTTCACAGCCAGAAAACGGCCGACTCCTGATTCAATAACGTTGGCTCCCCCGGGGGGGCAGCCAGGCCAGACCGGATTGCACCAGGTTGCCGTGGGGCTCGTGGGCTGGGGCTCAGGCTGCTGCTGGTGGAGGGACACCTGTGAGTGGAGGAGGATGGTCAGGCTGCTGGGGCCGGGGGCAGATCCCCCTGAAATTAATTGGACAATGTTGGTCAGTTTGCCCTGAGCTCTGGCCTGGCGTGGCTTAGTCTCTACTTGCAACATTCTTGAAGGAGGGTGAAGCTCGGAGTGGAACAGCAGGGGGCTGCGGGTCGGGATTGAGGGGCATCAGCAGAGCTGTGGGTGGGGCAAGCCAAGGCTGGAGTAGTGGGGGCTGTGGGTCGGGATTGAGGGGCATC